CAATTTATTTGATCCGAGCGCTTGATTAATCCATTCTGAATAGTCCCTGCTCAACAGAGCCCTCAAATATGACAGTGCGCCCCCTAAAATGCGTCGATTGTTCAAACAAAGACAAAGCCGTGCAAAAGATGCGCGAATTCAACAGATGTCGTCTCAACAAAATTTCGCGGAGCAAAGTATATCTGGTCCTGGCTCTCTACCATCCGAGAGAGAAGGTTGAGCAACCATGAGAGCTCGCAACACTAGACAAAGTCATCGATGGAGAAACACAGGGGCGCAACATGCTGTCTGAAAACTGTCTAGCACTTGGACCAATGAACGTTTTATAGCTTCTAGTTAAGCCACAGAGACCAGAACTGCTTCAGAAGGAGAGAGGGCTAATCAGTTATAGGTAACTCACGTGAGCATATATACATATTCGTCAAAGCTGCGGGGTATCGATTCTCATCCCCTGGCAACTTGCTATTCGGAATCGAACTTTGGAAAGAAAGCCATATTCAGGGACCGTCTATGACAGACAGACGTACATTTAAAACTGCGATCAAGGTAAAATAACCACAGGAAATATTACATCCATCCTAGTTCCTACTGGTGGAGTTGGGTGAACCGCTCGTCGGGAACGCAGGCGCTTATGAGTTGGCGGTTCTTCAAGCTGCGTTCCCGTTCCTGCAACATCTCGAGGGAATGAAGTTCATCATTGGAAGGCTATGACTTAGATACATTAAGTCTGCAGTGGTCAAGACTTTTCCTCCAACCATCTTGTGGATCTCCCCGACTTCTGAATCGGTTCGAAACGATGATGCTGTCAAACCACAGTCAGAGTGGCACCTGCTTGAGATAGCAGTTGATGGACCAGAACATAGGCGACAAAATAAAGGCTTTGCAACAGAGGGAATCTTGAAACAAGAAACAGAGCCACCAAGAAGGCCAAAAGTGCGTCTTCCTAGACGCCATTGAGCTCGGACATCTTACATTCATGAGAGTGCTTTTCTTCGGTCTTCTCGTTCTCTCTGCAACTGGCAAATTTCTTTCTCCAGTTCCATTATGAGCTTTTGCGATCGGTCAATGGAGGCCACGAGTGTTCCTCCTTCACGTTTCCATCTGGTCAGACGTTCCAACTCGGCGTTTCGCCGCCGGTACTTGGTTTCGATCTTGTCGCAGAGCCGACATTTTGCCGTCTCATACTCGGTCATATTGACGAGCCTCATGCCACATGTTTCGCCCGTTCGGTACTCATAGTTGCAGCGGTGAGCAAAGCTGGTCCAGCTCCAGTCTCCGCATGAAAATCTCTTTTGGTTGTAAAAGCACATGCCTATCAGATCCGTCAGCGGAGTCCGGTCTGGGGTACTGGTCAAACTCACTTGCCCGTCCGGGATCGTTGTTTCAGCTTTTTCGATATATTTGATTGGTCCAGTTCGAGGGCCCTACTACTATGCACTATATGATAGGTCACAAATCAAGATGGCGAATTGAGGAAGGAAAACAATATAAGAAGCTGAAACGCTTTATATCAAGAAGAAAGCTTTATCACTTATGAGATTCTCTGATGTTGCCAGGTCTGAAACTAACAGTGATTGAAACTCCATATAGACGAGGGACTGAAGGGCCCTATTTATGTTTCGTGAGATCTACCATGTTACAGTTCAGCTAGTTCCCTATTGTACGTGTCCATCCAGTCCATCGTCAATCAGGGAACTCCCTCAGCACACAATGGCTTATCGAATCCGGCGAACTATCATCATGTCCGCATCACTCACCTCGAATCACCCTTGCGGTTGGCTGTGATGGCTTCGCCAAAGCAGTGGGGTCGCAAAAAAAAGCTCAAATGGACCCTCCATGAGGCAATGGCAATGAGTGATTGCTTCATGATGCATGCATCTCGTTGTCGTGGCTGTCTCTTTTCTTCTTCGGGCTTGAATTGAAAGTTCAAAAATGCCTCATTCAACATCACTCCGTCGTCCAGACTGGGTCATCGTTACTGCCTTGGCTACTCGGTTGATTATCCCCGCTTCATTCAGGTAAATACATTTCATATCAAGCCGTCCTTGCGAACCAAGTACTTCCTTTTCCGTCTTCTTGAATCAGACCTCCTGCATGCATGAGCTGTCTCGTGCCAACTATGGTGCCGTCCTGCCATCAAACTTTGGCTACGTCCAGGACGCACCTCGCATTCTATGAGCGGGATGCAGGCTTTCATTTCTCGGTATACTAGCCCGGTCTATCCGATCTAAGCACAAGATTTTATCAGGAAAACTCACTTACAACCAATCGATTTCAAGCCTTCTCGAAAGCTGTGCTATGGACTCGGGACGAAAGTCAAACTTGGTGGCTTTCGAAGTAACACGCCCATGAAGTACTTTTTCCGCCTGTCTTTTTCCCTTTTGCTCATTTTTCTTCTTGTCGCCTAGGGCTTCAATACCCGTAGCCTGTCTTGCTCTTCTATACAGTCCATACATTGGTTCTTCCATCCATCCGCTGCAGGGGTATCATGCGTTGAGTCTACAGATGTCTTCTGGATTCCGCGTCCTCCCATTTCATTGTTGCAGCCCAGGGTTGTCACTTTCCTAGTGGCAAAAGACGCGCCACTAAAGGATATCGATTGGCATTCATTGCACCATTTCCATTAGTTCTTGAGGCTGATGGTGATGAAAGTGGTATGATAAACTTCCGTTTCTTGCAGGGATGCGTTTCTTTCAGCTGATCTCTTACATCTGCAGACGAGTAATCCTGCATTTGCCCCCACCCGTGTGCAGGCTGTGGCTTCATCCGCTTGCCTTCCTCATCCCGGGTGATAGGGCATTACTTGATCCGTTGAACATGGCAGAAACTGACCGTGGTACGGCGCACACACTGTCCATACCCATGCATCTGCGCTAGAGCTCAGAGTCTCTGTGACGTGGCATCCTTCGTCTGGCCCAGAAATATGAATTCATGTACGTTGAGACCACTGTGGGTGCTCCAAAGTCGAGACCATCGATTCGCAACTCCGGATCACAACTCGGGGAACTGGTCTCGTCTGCCTTCATTGGGAAAAGCCTGGGTACCGCCTTAGGAACTCCACTTACCCCGAACATCCCAGGCCACCTTCTAATGCAATCAGTTTCAGCCTGTTTTCTTTATTCTGGTGCGGGATCGCCGGACAGCTTCAATTGATGATCCCTGGGCTGAGGGCTCGAGCAATGGATCCAGGCTGGGATGTCGGTTGCCAACTCAGCGGTCGTCAAGTGCTGCATTGGGTGCCGCAATGACAGCAGGGAAAGCCCAGTATGCTACTGTGGGAGGACCGACCAAGCCTACCTCCATAACGCGATTTGCCACCTTTCTAAGAACGGCTTACACATCTTCTACTGTAGCATGCTATGATCTCAACAGCAAGGATCAGGCTGAGCTAGTCTAGCATCGGTCCTTGCCAGCTAGCCAAAGTTCCTCTCTCATGCGGGATTCTGACCCGGCTAACACAGTTGGCGTTGATGCAAATTGTCAGTACGAGCCTCCGGATGCACAGTGAATACATCCCATCAACGTTAAAATTGAATTTTCCGACACACATGTACTTCCCATCATGCCGGGTTCGTCTGGTCCCGTGATCATAAAGCTGACGGAGGCTCCTGCACATTCAGGGAGCGGGCTTTTTGCAGGTAGCAAATGGAAACCGTTATTCTCAGCAGCGAAATTTTAAGGTAAGAGTGCATTTCTGCCGTGTTATACCTACGCAAATGTATTGGCTAATAGTGGGATGCACGCGAAAAGCCATCATTCGACTGTGCCCAATCAGTGCTCTGCACTCTCTGGCAGCTTATGCAGCTAAAAGAACACCCTAGGTAGGTGCCGGCTGCACAATTAGAGCCCAGAGTGTCTTGAGTCAAACATGATTGGCCTACAAGCAGGACAGCGCCAGTTGAACATTAATACCTAGATGCTAGGTCGCATATGCAAGTTGCCTCGTGCGAGTGTCCACTTAGGTACTTTCGGTCACATTCAGACAGCCTTGAGCTGGACATATCAGTACTGCTCTCCCGTTCGGTCCGTGAGCAGAGGTGCTGTTGTCTACTCCAGTCAAGAGGCCTAGTCGACCCCGCGCAGCTTATGCTCGAGAGGGGGAGTAATCGCAACTAACGCCTAGTGATGTCGATATGCAAGCAACCCCAAATGGGTGTCCGGCAGTTCTTCATTTTCTGAAAGTGGGCTTGAAAGTAATCAATACCGGAGCCTGGACGTGTCTGCGCAGACGCATGAGCGTACCGAACCCCCAGAAAGTTACGAGAACTTCGACCCTTGCATCTGGTTTTGCTCAGATGATATTTCCAACAGATTGACGTGGCTGAACAGGTTGGATTCGTTATCGAATCCTCGTCCCGCCAATTGTAGGTGCGTCGTAGTCTCGTTGCACGAAGGAATCATTAATCTCCCTACTTAGCCACGCTAGGACAAGATTGACGAAGACTGACTGAACAGTTGTACTTCTACCTGATCAATCTATCCTTCTTTTTCGGTAGATCATATCACCTGTCAAGAAAACAATTGCTGCGCTAGTCCATGTAGCTTGCTTGAATATGACCAAATAAAAATAAAGATGTAGCTCTCCAAAGAATAGGACAATCTTTGCTTGCACGTTACATACTTGGAACGGAAAACCCTCGCTCAAGACATGTCTCCCTTTATGTCGTTGTCCCACCGTCATCACGTGGCAGAGCAGGTTTCAAAGATACCCTGCAGAAGGATGACGTCAATATGATTGATGAACAAAAAGCATCGACTCGACACGATCTCTTCCAACTCTTTTTAACATCTCAAATCATTATACGTCCGAGATCTAGAAAGGCAGGTCTTCAGAAGAGATGCTTGCGAATGGACTGCTTAAGACTAATTGTGTTCTAGTGACAAGTCTACCCGTCTTCTTCTACAATTGGCGTTACTAGTCTTCTCGCTTTAAGAAACCAGTCTTATTCCTACACTTTATCGTCTTAGACCGCCTCATAAATACCTTGATTCTTTTCATCATGACGATGCTCAAAAACTTCGTATCAGTTGGTCAATTAGGCCACAACGCCGCCAGAAACGCCCGCCGAGTCCAATTCCAGCCAGGTTTCCAGGCACCCGTCACTGCTGTGCAACAGAGGAGAGCTTTTCGCTCGCTTCCATGCTTGCGGACATCCGAAGAGCAGCCAAGAATGCATAACAGAAACGAACTAGATCCCCAGCGATCGGAGGGCACAAAGACCGGTACCGACAACGAAGTCGCAACCCATCACGCGGCCTACGATCCAAAAAACACCTCCCCCGAAAGCGAAATCAATCAAGCTGAGAAGGAAAGCGAACAGGGAGGCAAAGTCAGCAATCCCTTGGACGTAAGTGCTGCGAACAAAGATGTCAGTGGAGCACGTGATCCGCAAGAAGGAGGGCCAGACCGCAATGCGGAGAAGGAACCGAGTGGGAGAGGATCACCCAGGAAGGGAAGAGAGGTGCACGTCGGAGGTAAAAAATAAGTGCAGTCGTATATTGAGGTAACTCAAGGCGCAAGGCGTCGCTGCCAGACTTGGCATGAATATACACTTTGATCTTGTCACATAGGGTTCGAGAGCAATTCTCTTACAGAACGGCAAAGAACATCTAAGAGCAGATACCTTTTTGCAATTGTCAGGTCACTGATATGATACAACAAAGATAAAGAGAATATACCAAACAAATTATGCCTCCGATGTTGGTGCAGACCTAAGCTATTTCTTCCCCCCGTATTTGATGATGTCACTGCCGCCCAAGACCCATACTTTCTCGCTACCAGGAGGAACATCACCTGCCAGAGCTTTGAGGCCTGCATTGACCGCTGCTCGGGCAATAACGTCTGCATCTTGAGCCCACCCATTTTTCAATCCCGGATGAATCTTCCCGGCAATGCCAGCAATGAACCGGAATGCTGCTTCCGCTGGTCGACTCTCCTGCCGTTGGCCGGATATCAGACCAGGGCGCAAAATCACCGTTCTCTCAAACCCCAGGGCCTTCACGTCTTCTTCAATCTCCCCTTTCATACGAGGATATGCGAAAGAAGACGCCTTATTAGCGCCGCCAGACGAAATCAGGACATAGACTTTCGTACCGGCATCGCGCGCTGCGCGAGCCATTTCTACATTCAGACCATGCTCCACCTTGTATTGATTCTCGAATCCACCAGCTGCCGCCCGAGTAGTGCCAAAGGCAGATATGAAGATGGCTGGTGTTGGAGTGAGAGAAGAGAGCTGAGCAGCCCAACGAGATGTATCATCAGATACAAATGTGGTCAGTTTAGTCTGAGGTGCCTCAGCAGCAGCGGATGGAGTACGGCGGGAGATTGCATCCACCCGAGCTACAGCAGGATTTTCGAGAAGGCTAGTGAGGATGTGACTGCCCTAGGAGATTTGAACGTTGAGTGAAGGAGATTTGCATGTGGCGGGGAGAGGCCTTACCACCATCCCAGTAGCTCCTATCAATGCCACATTCGCCATGGTGTCCGGATATATACAATGCTATCGTTGGAATCAGAAGCGCAGGTGTAATGTACAATATAGTACAAAAGTACCTCTGTAAGTACAATGTGTCAAAACGCAAGGGATATTGTTTGCAGATATCACATTCCCCAAGCGCGATCGAATGACGTCGAACGAGGCGGCCAGACTCAGATGCGGTGTTTATACCTCAGGCAGCATTAATAATGCTCGTGCATTGATGTCTGACTAATGCGGGGAGGTCCGAAGACGGAGGATTCTCCCCCCAGTTTGCCGCTCTATCGATAACGCCGATAAGAAATTGCGTGATTGCCGCTAGCCGCTTTGGGCAAGGCCCTGGGGACATTTTCTATACTCCGAATCCGTCTTCTTATTGCCATTGCCCCCCTCCTCAGCTTGCTGTGGTAATTCCTTCGTCTTTGTTTTTTTCTTGTCACCTGCGAGGTGTTGGCTGAGTGTGTTTGATACCCAGACAAGGAAACCTCAAGATGGGCTCTTCTTCACCATCTTTGTCTGCCCTCGGTGGCCCTACATATGTCACCGCCCAGACGTTGATCCAACAAGTCGCCTACATCCTCAGCGACAAGATCTTCTCCTATTCCCCTGAGTCTTTCGATCTGGACAATGCTCTGCGTGAATGGGCATCACGTCAGGAAACCAATGCCAATGGCGAATCCACCGTCGTCCAGGCTATGGAGACCCGTCAGGGTGCCGGTAACATCGCCCTCGGCTATCTCTTCTCTCAAGACTTTGATCTGAAGAAGCGCCATGTCCCTCAGGGTATCGTTGCTTCTTCGGCCACTCTCCCGTTCATGCGCTCGGCTCTGGAGCAGCTCTCTCTGTTGTATTCAGTCGCTAGCCCTGTTGCTGCACACGTTGCCGCCGTTGATTACGCCGGTGAGGATGGTCTGGTCTCGGATTATGCTTCCGCGCTCTCACTTGCTGAGGAGCTTGGCCTGGGTCTTGTTTCAAGTGCCTCGGTGCATGAGGCTCAGCATATGGCGCTGCTCACGACCCTTCTCGCTTCCGTTCTGCCATCTGTTCACATCTACGACGGCGTCCGCGTTGGCCGCGAGACCACCCGTGTCATTGATGTTTTGGACCAGGCGGGCGTTGCTCGTACCTACGAGGCCATTCGCAAGACCTTGGATGAGTCCCGTAACCGTCACCTTGACACCCAAGGGAAGGTTCTGGAGTTGTTCACTTCGCTGAACGGCGAACTTGGCACAGACTATCGTCTTTTCGAATACCACGGTCACGCCGAACCCGTTTCCGTTCTGGTTGCTTTCGGTACCGTCGAGGCGTCTCTCACTGCGCAGGTTGCTCGCTCGTTGGCAAAGGACGGTGTCCGCGTTGGTGTTGTCAATGTCCGTGTTTACCGTCCTTTCGTTGAGGAGGAATTCCTGCGTGTTCTCCCCGAATCGACCAAGACTGTGGGTGTCCTCGGTCAGGTTTTCAATGAGCAAGCTGTGCAAGAGCAAGGTGTTCGCTCTGCCCTTTATGAAGACGTGCTTGCGGCTTTGACCTTTGCCTCTGGTCGGGAACATGCGCCTACCTGCGTTGACATCAAATACCCCCGCTCTCAGCGTTGGGACCTGATAAACACTGCGGCTGCCTTCCAACTCATCTTCGAAAAGCCCATTGTTCCGGCCAGCGGTGAAAGCCTGCCTCTTCAGCTTATCGACCCTGCTACCGTTCAGGAGTACACTTTCTGGGATGTTGACAGCTCTGTTTGCGAATCTGCTGCTGCCGTTCTTTCTGATGCCCTTGCTGCTGATTCCGCTAGCAATGTCACAACATCCAAGTCTCATGACAATCTTATTCAGGGAGGAGCCGTCCGTATCGACATCCGCAAGAGCTCCAAGATTCTCGATACCCCCTATGCTATTACTGCTGCAGACACGACATACGTTGGAGACATCAAGCTTCTTGGAGATGTCGATGTTGCCGCCTCCGTTAAGGACAAGGGCAAAGTCATCATCAACGCCCCTGGCGTCAAGGACGATGAGTTGGAAAAGAAACTACCCCTGGGCTTCAGACAGGCTGTTTCTCAACGTGAAATTTCTCTCTACATCGTCGATCCATCGGCGGCCGGTGCTTCTGCCCCTGAACCCTCCGTCCTCCAGTTAGCCTTCCTTAGAGTGGCACTTCCCTCTCAGGAAGGGGTCGGACTGAAGAAGCTTTCTTCTATCACCGGAGACTCCGAGGCTCTTGAGAATGTCACTAAAGACCTTGACAAGCTTCTCCGTCAGGTCGAGATCCCTGAGGCTTGGAAGACACCCGAAGAGGGAACCGAGGTGACTCAGCTTCCTAAGGATATTTCCATCAACAGCTTCGTTCCCTTCGACAAAGATGAAGCGGAGCCAGCTCCTCTCCTCAATGATTGGCAGGCTGCAGCCAAGGGCCTCGCATTCAAGGAGGCTTACGGCACCAAGAAGGCTCTCCGTCCCGAAACGGCCACGAAGACTTTCACCGTTCACGTGAAGGAGAACAGACGCTTGACCCCTGTCACTTATGATAGAAACATCTTCCACATTGAGTTCGATCTCGGTGACTCGGGTCTCAAGTACGATATTGGCGAAGCCCTAGGTGTGCACGCTGAGAATGATCCCCAAGACGTTTCGGAGTTCATCACATTCTATGGTCTCAACCCCGACGATGTTGTCGGTGTTCCGAGCCGCGAGGACCCCGCAGTTCTTGAGAACCGCACCGTCTACCAGGCTCTCGTCCAAAACGTCGATATTTTCGGCCGGCCGCCTAAGCGCTTCTATGAGGCCCTCGCAGAATTCGCCACCGACGAGAAGGAGAAGAAAGACCTTCTCACACTGGGTGGTCCTGAAGGTGCCGTGGAGTTCAAGCGCCGCGCCGAAGTTGACACCATCACTTTCGCCGACGTCCTGCTGGAGTACCCCTCAGCTCATCCTGACTTCCAAGACCTGGTCCGCATTGTCGGCCCCCTGAAGCGCCGCGAGTACTCCATCGCTTCCTGCCAGAAGGTGACGCCCCACTCGGTTGCTCTCATGATCGTTGCTGTCAACTGGGTCGACCCCCGTGGCCGCGACCGCTTTGGTCTCGCCACTCGGTACCTCAGCCGCCTCCAGCCCGGCACTCCGGTCACTGTCAGCGTCAAGTCCAGCGTGATGAAGTTGCCACCCAAGTCAACTCAGCCCCTCATCATGGCCGGTCTCGGAACGGGTCTTGCTCCCTTCCGTGCCTTCGTGCAGCACCGTGCCCTCGAGAAGGCACAGGGCAAGGAGATCGGTGCAGTGCTCTTGTACATGGGATCCCGTCACCAGCGCGAGGAGTACTGCTACGGTGAAGAATGGGAGGCTTACCAGGAAGCCGGTGTCATCACTCTTCTTGGCCGTGCTTTCTCTCGTGACCAGCCTGAGAAGATTTACATCCAGGATCGCATGCGCGAGACTCTGCCTGAAATAATCCAGGCCTACATCCGGGAAGAGGGTGCCTTCTACCTTTGTGGTCCCACCTGGCCTGTTCCTGATGTGACTGCCGTGCTGGAGGAGGCTATTGCCACTGAGGCCAAGAACACAGGCAAGAAGGTCGACACTCGCAAGGAGATCGAGAAGCTCAAGGATGAGGAGAGATATGTTCTCGAAGTCTACTAGATGGATTTCGTTTGGAGAAATCTGCTGAGATTTCCGCTACGTTTCCCACACTGCTGCCATTGCATGTTGTGACGACCCATTTGTCCCATTTCAGTTTAGCGCTTCCATCATGAGACTCAACGATAGATTTGGATTTCTGCGATGACAGTGCTTCAACTCATGTCATGTCCATAGACCTTAATTGCATTTTAAATTTGAATCGTTCATTCGGAATCTGATGGGTATCTGCTCTATTCCTCTATACCTCCAATATAGACTCAACTGGTAACACAAGGCTCACGCCAACACCATCTATCCCTAAGACAAACACGTATGCATGTGAGACAGAAAAGAGAAAAAATATTATAAACAATCAACACTAAAATGGGCGTGGTTCTCCAA